TTGCACAGAAATGTCTGCTAGAAACTTGTTCTCCAAGTATAAATATATCTCTATTAAATTGATACCTCTATCAGTTCCAGAGGCTTGGTAACAGTATGAATGAATGGGGCAAGGGGGAAATGCAGTTTGAGCAATTATCAGTGCTGTTGAAATAGCCGTGAACTCAGCTGGGCTGAGATCCCTGCAGATATGGACTTCAGAGTGTGACTGTGGGGAAGAAGCTGTTCAGCAGTCAGTTGTTATAGCACATACCGAGCTAGATCCGTGCTGCTGCAGCAGAGTTGATGCTGGATGACATTAGCAGCATCTGAAATGACTAAATATTTGGCTTTCCTATTTTAGTGATGTCTCTTGATGCCAGGAAGGGTGTTCTTGTCCCCACTGGGGCCGAGGCAATTACTTGTGTCTGCAACTTTATTTGAGAGTACTAGTGGATGTTTGCATTGATTAGATCTGTAATTGTGGTGCCTTTTTTATCTCCTGCTGGTACAAGGACTAAGAAAAGTCAGTGAGATCTGTAGGAAAGGTGTTATCCTCATCACAGAGCAGGGGAGCTGGGACCAAAGCCTGATGTCTCAAGGTCACACAATGCAATCTGATGGTAGAGGCAAGCCCCTGGGCACCCTCAACTGCAAAGTCATTCTCTTAAATTCAGTGCAACTTTCAGATCTTCCATCAGAGACATCTCTGGCTCCAAGTCTTGAGAACACAAGGGGAGTTCTATATGCAAGGCCAAAGCCTTTAATTTTACATTATGTAAATCACAAGTTAACTGAAACTCAGATGGTTGTGATGCAGACTTTATGCAGCCCACTAATACTATGTTACTCCTGTTTTCCCTACAGCAAAGAGACTTAAATTCATTGGTAATTATGCACAAGTTTGTGGCATTTATGAACAACCACTCTAATTGGTAGTGTAGGAGCAAAATAGAAGTAACTGAGTTAACACAAGGCTTCATGTAAATCACTGAGGGATAATGAATGTGGGGTGTTCCAACATATGGGTATTGTGCAGGGGTAATCAGCATAAAAGAATATTGGTCTCTGCCTTAAGGAAAACCAAACAGAATTAAAACAACCCCCCTAAAACCCCCTGTTACAAAATTGAACAGAACAGACTTCATCAAAGGTGATACAAGCGAAAGCATGGGGACTCTCTCTGGAGTTTGCGTTTCTAGAAGCTGGCATAAGAGCCTCTTAAAAGGGTTCTTTTTCTTCATGTCTCCTTGCAAATGTGGCATGATGAATGTCTTTCAGATAGAGAAAATACGGATTGTTGCTGAGGGTCAAAATGAGCCAAATCCAAGACTTGTGCATCTCCAAGAGCAGTCCCTGTGTTTAAGTGTTGTCATGCTGGTAAATCTATTCAGGTGAAATAGAACTCATTGCATGCTGCTGTAAGGAAATTGATGGCAAAGGAGCCTTCAGTGCTGAGCAACGGGAAGAATTGTTGCCATGGACAAAATAACGAGGGTGGGAGGACATACTTTATGCTATCTATCCTCTTACCTTCTATGCTGCCCTCGCAAGTCTTGCTCTGCGTGCCTGGGAAGGCATCCTCAGTAGGCATTAAATCTTAACTAGAGTTCATAGCACCTCCAGTACCACCATAACTTCTGTATTATGCCTACAGCATGATAAGATACCCAGAGAGTGTGAATGTAAGCTAGTGAGTGCACTGAAAAGCCTGAGTGCATAGGTTGAGTGCTTCTGAAATCTAGACTTTACCATATTTCAGCTGATTTCTTCCTTTAATGCCAGTCTCTGATTTGAAAAGCAGTGATTTTTTTTTTCCTGGCTGCTACACTGATTCTAGAACAAGCTGTAGCGTTTTTGGCTGCCTGGGGTATTTGCTCTATTTTTATACGAGTAAGGTGTCTTGAGAAAGTACTAGCTTTATAATATATAAGGAGGCTCATTCCTAGTGCCTGCTCTTGGGGCTCCTGAGCTTGCACAGAGACATGCCATATTACCATACATATGCTTTGTGGTTACAGTCAGCACTGCTACCAGAGCCTCAGATGACTCTGCTTCACCACATGTTTAATGAGTGGGACTTAAATGGTGGTTTTCTTGTTGCTACTGACTTGTCCTTATCTATTTCCAGTTGCTGGTATAGAACCCATTAAAAAAGACTGGGTCAAATGACTGCATGTATTTTTGGAGAAGGTTGTGGATTCTGTGCCTGCAACTGCAAAAGGCACATATCCTTTAAATAGCTGGATGTGTCTACAGTTTGGTTCAGCGCTTGCCTTTGCTGCTGCTAATGCAAATGTAGTGTAATGCAGCAGCAGGCTGCATGCTAGGCTGTAGGGGTGTAGCTCATTTCTTTCTCCTCCTCATGCATGACACACTCTGTGGGTATTGCCTGGCACTGCAGCAGGCTCCCATGGTGCTCAGTTTCTTTCTTCCAAGTGGTCTGGTTTTATGAGTGAAGAAACACCAAGGTGATGACGATGGGTCTCTTATACAAAGGGGAATATAAAACCTGCTGCTGGGCCACAACTGGATGGTCATTGGGAATGCCTGTTCCTGTGAGGAACTGCGAAGGTCTGCTTCCCTTTGGATAATGTAAAGCATTTAACTGGTTTTGCCTGTTCTCCCATAGACCAGAAACATTTGGATTGAGGCAAGGGTGAGAGAGGTGGCTTCTTGGAAAACCTCTGCAGGTTCTTCCAGCTGGCTCTTTCACTGCAGAATCCAGTGCTCAGGAGTGCTGAGGTGGGGGAATCAGTGTGTGATGTGATGCACCATCTTCTAGAAAGCCTTACCAGCTGCAATAAATTGCTTTCTGCCTACCCCTCTCTGACACTGGAACACAAGAATTCCCATGTGCCAGGAATCCCAATGGCTTTTCTTCCACCACCATTCCTGGGCATAAATGTCCTAAAGGGGCAATTTTTCCAGCTCAGCCTTTAGAGTTTCCACTTACGGTGTGAGCGCTGAGCTGCGGCGGGGTTGCCACTTGGCCACCCTTCTTGTGTCTTTTCCCTGGCATTCAGCAGATCCAAATGGGTTTTAATCTGCATCAATATTCCGCAGCAGATAACTATGGTGATAGAGTTATAAATGGAGGGCAAAGCTTGCCTCCTTTTGAAAGCTTACTTGTGGTGACTAGAAAGCACTATGCTCGTGTCTTAAAGAACAAAATTAAGCGAGGATGTGCTTATTGAAGATGCTCTTCACTTGGTTTAGCAGCAGAAGTTGTGTTGCATCCTGTGGAAACAAAGGAAGGTCCCTGCCCCAGAAAGCTCACAGGCAGGGGCCTGTTCTATTCAAGAAGAGCATGGAAATAGCCTTGAACTAGCGATTGACCTTGAATTGTTGGTGAAATTCTTAGGTTTAAAATACCATTGGATGGTAATTTAGCATCAGTCCTAAGGTCTTTGCCAATCCTCTCATTCAAGTAAGACAGAGTTGCCTGATTATGTACTACTTGTTTAAACTAAGGGAAATAAGGTGGGGAGCCATGTTCAGCTTTGAAGGTCACTGTCAGACTGGGGATAGTGGGGGAAGAAGCTGCTGGTTAGCTCGCAGCTAAGGTGCTGTGATTTGGCTCCTTTGGAGCTCCCAGGCTCTGAAATGCTTCCCCACACGTACCTCCTCCCAGGGGATACCTGGGTGTAGCTTTGCTCTAGTGAAGAACATACTCTGGTTTTGGACAGAAGTCGTTGCTGTGCTGATGCAGTGGCACTGGCAGCAGCAGAACATGCGACAACGTTAACCTGTCTCCCTTGTGAGGTTTATAGGAGTGCTTGGGAGTGCGTGCTGTGCTTCAGAGAGCAGCACTTGGGCTGCTCTAGGCAAAGAGGGGCCTGAAGCAAATACCCTTGAACTGGCAACTGGAGCTTATCTTGGAATTCACCTGAGCTGTGGGCAGGCATGTGAGTTAGAACACTGGGTTGCAGCCATGAGACACACCTTGGGCTGAATATCAGGAAATACTCCTAGCTCTGAGGCTGCCTTGCCTACAGAGCCAGTAAAATCAGCACACCTCAGGGCAGAGGCGAAAGAGTACTTTGCTGTGGCACACAGAGGGTAAAACCGAGCAGCATCTCTGTGTGTGTGCTCCTGGAGGCATTTAAAGGAGGGGTGGTGCACGTAAGACCTGCTCCTCCTTGAAGGCTCAGTCCTATAGACTCAGTGTCCGATTACTGAGCATCAGCTAGTGTGCCTTGGGTAGCTGGGGGAGCAGTGAAGAGGAGGGAACACTTTGTGGTTTGCTGGCAAGTCACCCGCTCTTTGATGCACTGCAGCAAAAGCCCTGTCTGAAAACTCTTCGGCAAAGAAGGACATTGCAGGGAAAGGGAAGGGGGGGGGGGATGCTGATGGACTGCACACAACTGAAAGATGCTGCTGCAAGCGCTGTGACAGCCAACCCTTGTACTCTGCTCCCCCCCCCAGTCATTTAGCAATTGACTTGGCCAAGTCTGTCGCCTTACGTCTGCAAGTAGAATGCAGTGTCCTTCTCCTGGATGCCCTTCAGTTGCAACAAGGGCTGATACTGCCGTGTAGGCATGTCCCCAGGGGCTTATTGGAGCAATTCAGGTAACATTCGTGATGAGGAAGCAGCAAGGCTTCGGTAGATGAATTGAACTTGGATGCTGCAGTGGTGGCTTGTCACCCATCCGCTCTGCAGTGGCCTCAGCCAGGATGTTGTAATGTTTTGGGGACTACAGTGAGAGATGCAGCGCGTTATGTAGCGGCAGTGTTGATGGAAAGGAAGCATGGACCAAGGAAATGGTGAGCTGCTGATGCAGTGCAGGTGATCCTTGGATCGTTGTCATTGCAGCACACACAAGGTATCTGGACTGTGTCCTGAGACAAACAGTAAGATAAAGGGTGCTTTATGAATTTTGTTTACCGAGGGTTAAAGCTCTCAAGTTTGCAATCGCTTTTTCTGGCCCAAAACAAATATACTGTTGCTGCAGAGGAAGACTGCAGCCTGCAGGCTGCCCTGTCTGATGGTCTGTCCTGTCCCTCCTAGGAGAACTACACCCAAAGTGGAAGAAGACCCCCCTGATGTATAGGCCCGGAGCAGGGCTACTGACCACAGCCTACCAAGGACTCGGAGGAGCCCTCATCCTGCTGTGTTGCTTCCTTCAAAGCTGGACCTCTCGGCAGCACAAGGTGCTAGCCAGGCAGGATTTGGCCACCTTGCTCTGGAAGGAATTGCAAGAGAGTGTGGTAAGGCTTTTAAACGTCGTGTCTCAATGTTGACCTGTTAGCTTAACTCCTTAGACTGCAGTCATCATAGCGAGGTAAGGGAGAGAGGCCACTTGCTTAGGTTAACTCGCGTGCTACTGAGCTGATAGCTTAGCAGTGGAGAAGCCAAGTTTGCAGGAGCCCTCAGGTGCAGCAAGAACTTGCAGTGGCCAATTGTTTCCATTCTGACTGCTCCTGTCCAGCACACAAGTTGAACACATGGTGCAATGAAGGTACTTCTGTTAGTAGGTAGCATTCCCCATACGAATGCTTCGCTGAGGTTCATTTTCAGGCTCTCTATTTTAAGCAACTGACTCAGATTTACATGTGATGAGCGTTTCTGGTGGCAAACATCCTAACTTGGAGCCATGTCGCTGCCGGTGGTGGTGTGCTTAGCTGTACATCCAACTTGTGTGGCGTCATACCTAAAACCAGCCACTTGAACTGTGGACATGGAACTGGCATTTGTGTGCCCCTGCAGCTTCATTTAAAGCTGGCCTTTTTTTTGCCACGTTCTCATAAGTCCTGAAGAGCTGCAGCAGCAGCAGCAGCTGGGAGGGATGTGGAGACCTCTGCATGGATGCTTTCCAAAGCTTTGAATTGCTGCAGTTCTGTTCTTGATGTCTGCTCTGTGCTGTGCTTTCTCCATGGGTTCACAGCTGCTTTTCGCTAGGCAGGAGAGGGTAGGGAGTTAGGAGAGGGATTAGGAAAAGTATTTCTTTCCATGGCAGTAGTTCAAGAAGGATCAAGGGGCTGCAGCAGTGAGAGAAAGCGTGGCCAGGTTAACAGAGCTGTCAGTTTTCTGCTGGCCTTGCAGTGTTCCATAGGTGCAAAGGCAGATGCTTGCTGCTGCATTGGCTTCCCTCCCTCCCTAAGCAGCTCTGTGTGTGAGGCAACTGAGCTTGACCCCTTTTCCTGCTGAAAGCTATTGGTTCCACAGATGTGAGGCATGCAACAAAAATACCTGCAGTCGGTTGGGCTCTGAGGGAGGATGGATGGGGAGGGAGGAGAAAAGCTGTCAGCAAAAAGCCCGGTTTATTTAAACTGATTGATGACAAAGTGATCCTGCGTCTCCACCTGTGAACTAGCAGGGAAGATGCAAAGAGCTTCTCCCAGATGCCTCTGAAAGAGGCTCTTCCATCTGTACTCCTCCTTACTGCTTCACCCTGGGACCTTGTGTGCCTGCAGCGGCCCTAGGTGGGACATCTCTTCACTAGCACTTTGGGTTGGAGCAGGGCAGGCTCTTATTGGCAGGACAGGGTGTCCCTGGTGCTGGGTCCAGTGCCCGGCTCCCAGCAGAGGGAAGCAGAAGCACACCAAGCTGCTGTCCTGCTGCCTTTGGCTGCTCCATGCTCTTTCAGCCTTGGTGTCATTAAACCAAACAACACCCCTCCTCAGACACCTCACCAAGAGAAGAGACAGTTCTCTTGCTGCTTAACGATAAAGCCTTTGAGTAGCAGGGAGTTGCTACCTGTAATTCCACCAGCTAATCCTATTAGCGAGCTCTGTCCTTCACCTTAGGTACTATTCTTAGTTCAGTCCCTGCTGGATTCTTGACAGAGCAAATACTAAGGCTTGCTCTGTGCCTTTGGAGAGATTAGTTGCATGAGTGATTCAGGAAGCATCTTCCCTCTCTTTAAGAGGTGAAGTAATGCAAGAGATTGATGGAGAACCTGCTGCTCTGAAGGAGGTAAGGCCAGTACTGATGGAAATGCAAAGAAAGCACTGGAAATGCCGATGGGTGAACTTGGTGAACTGTAGCTAACCCTAACTCACCCAAGGGAGTGGACTGAATGACTGAAGTTCCTTGTGACTCTTTGCTTTTATGACCTTAGTACAAAAGCCTGTCTTTTGTCTTCTTGCCTTTTTTATCTGAAGCTGGATCTCCACTTTGCTGCTCTTTATTTGTTCCATCAACTAATACACAGAATCCCTGTGCCATCCAGGCCCTGCTCTGCGGGTGAGGGTAACACTGGAGGAGTGACACAGCCTAGGAGGAGATTAAGGGCTGTTTGAAGAGGTGTCTGCCTCTTAGAGGGGTAATGTGACTGCTATGTCCTCTGTAGCGTTCTCTTCCCTGAAACTCCACGGGCAGGTTTCTGCACTGCAGAACAGAAGTAGAGAGTGACAAAGCACCTCACCCTCAGGCTGTTGTAGCCTAGTGAACCTGAGTGTGTCTCAGTCCTTCAGTGGTACAAGTCCTTTCTAATAGGGTGGCTGCAAACCGTGTCAATGTGTCGAGGTGTACGTGCACCTGCATCCTCTCTCCTGTGCAGTGTGGACATCTGGTGTGTGTGTGTGGGTGCCCTTGTTCAGTTCCTATCTGATTAGGAGAGAGAATCTCACTAAGAAAGAGAAATCCTGATCTTGCGACTGGTATGTGTCCGAGCAAGGCCCAGCAGACTATCAGAGTGAATAAGGCACTTCAGTGTGAGCAGTTAGATGTTCCAGTTGTCACTGGAAACGTACTCAACTGCCTGCAGCATCGTCCTTACTCTGTGCTTGAATTAGTGCGGCTCCTTATGCTGATCACTCTGCTTCTGCTTCCTGTTTCTGTAAAGGGGGGAAATACTGACAGGCTGCTGTACCCACGAAATAGGTTGGGAAAGAATTTGCCAGTGCTCTTGGAGACCAGGAGCTTCTGGGAGAGCTTTTGGCTGTTTAGACAGAGGCAGTGCAGGAAGCAACCAGACCTGAGCTGCTGTGCACTCATGGGAGAGGCTGGTTAGCATGAGGTGAGCAGGGGTAGTTTGTATGCTAAACCATTGCCTGTGAGGTGGTCTGTCCTTATATCTTATGATATTTCTTCCCTCTTGGTCAAAATATACCTTCACATTACCCTTAGTGATACACTTATTTATCCCTCCACCATCGTCACTGATTACTTTTCTCTTCAAACACAGCACTGGCAGTTGGGATGTGATAGAAACGTACCCAGGCTGCTGCCAGCAGCCTGGGCCATATAGGATTCCTGACAGCCTGCCAGCATGCAGGGATTTGGGGAGGCTCGTGTACTCTGCAGAGACACGTCTCAGAGGTTTTCTGTTCTTGTTGCCAGATCTTCACTCTTTCCTGTTGCTCTCTTTGATGTGAACCAAAAGGCAAGGTGTACTTGTGGAATGTGACATCCAAAGAACAATCCAAACACTACAGAAACCGCATTAGGATTAGAACGACCTGGGTCCTTCCTGTGACTGCAAGCGTGGTGTCATTAGCCTCCACGAAGTAGGCATGTATAGGCATGTCTGCAGCAGCCTTGCCAGAAGACAGTACAGGGAGAAAGATCTGCAGAGCTGAGGAGGGCTGGACCTGTGTCTGAGTTTTCACGTCAGTGAGTCCACAACAGCTTGTGATGCTCTAGCAGCCTGAGAGCTTCCCTTATGCTTACGTTCAAGTTCCAGCTGGTCCATGGGTCTCGGTCTTCAGCCCTTGCCACCCTTGCTGCAAGTATAAACGTCAGCAGGAGTGAAGTAATGCCATGTTTAGACCCCAGCAGTGTTCTCTCGAGTTGGTAGGTGAAATGTGCCTTTGTACTCTTAGACTATGGTGCAGGAGAGGTAGCAGCTGATTCCAGGCTACCACTCCCTCGGTGCAAGCTGGTATTTGTTGTGTTAACTCCTGTTAGTACAGGCTGTTAGCTTGTACACACGGACAGTTAATCCAGCTCTGCTCCAGCATGGCATTGCCTTAGCTGAGGGAACTTGTTCAAACATATGACATTGCAGTTGGATGCCTTCCACGCTCGCTTGCTGCAGAAGTTTCCCAACTCAGAAGCTAACCAAAGTATTTCTGCAATGGGAGATGTAAAACGGGTTATTGAGGTCAGTCAGGTTTGTCTGAAGGCTTTGGGCTTTCAGTCCTGTTTTACTTCACCTCTCAGAAAAGCTGGTGGTACAAAGTACAAGGGCCTGTTGAGTAGCCACGAGGTGTTTGTATAGTAAGCAGGACACAGTAACTGGTGGTCTAAATGCAGTATTGCTGTTCACTTAACAGGCCACTTTGCTGCAGTTCAGGTGAGTGGGTGCTCTGCTCCTCACAGATGGATAGCTACAAAGTCCTCTGCTCAGATGCCCTTGCAAAGGAGATCTGGAAACACGTACTTTGGGAAAAGCCTGGGGTTTTCCTGCTTACCAAGAATGTTGCCATCTATATGTTAAGGAGATGTCTTTTGAGGGCAGAGAAGTCACATATTAGTGACTTGTGACTGACAGTTTGCCTAAGTGTTCATGACTCTGCCTCCATAGTGGTATCATTGAGGGGAAATGGATGGAACTGATAGGGAACAGTTGGGAACTTAGAGGAGGCACTGAGACTGCTGTTTCCTTCCACATTATCTGGGAATACTCCTTTATCCATGGTAGGTGAAGCTGCAACTTGATGTCATGATGTCTGCAGGGTGAGGATCAACACAGTGACACTCAGTGCAGGTAGCAGGTAATTTTTCTGTGCACATATATTTCTTTTTCTTATCTGGCATAAAAACCTACTGCCAATGCCTGTGCACAATACAAGTCTTCATCTAGTGCATGATATTGTGATTAAGGATAACTGTAAAGGCAAAATGTGAGTTAAAGTAAATTTACATTCAGTTCATAGCTCCCTACGGTTTGAGGACAGAAGGGGTCTACTAAAGGAATCTCTTGTCTAAGCAGGGATAATTCATTTTGTTAGTCTGCTAGATTACTGGGCTGAGCCAGAACATCAGATTCACCTTGATTTGAAGAGAAAATAACTCACCGTGTGCCTAGGTGCTGAGTTTCAGTCCCTAATGCAGTTTCCCTGCCTAGTTTAAACTGAACCTCTGGTGCTGGCTTTTAGCCACTGGCTCTTCTGCTTCCCTCTGCTGCCGTAAAGAGCAAGCAGCAGCATCCAGCATTTCACTATGGGAAGAGCTTCCTACCCTGTAATCAAGTTATGTCTGAAGGCAGCTTGGCTTAACAATAAGGGACAATATCAGTGAGAGCAGTTCGAGTGCTCCCCAAGCATCAGTAGGGCCCTAAATGCTCACCGAGAGTAAGCTGAGCTGAAATGACAGCAAGAGTAGCTCAGCTGCTGCTTGCTGTTTCCATGCTCTGGAGAGCTTTCATCACGGAGACCCATCCCTAATGGGTCCCTTTAGTGGATGGGATCGTGGTTTTGAAGTGGTGATAGCTCATGCAGGTTAAAGGCACTGGTTGCCCCTTGAATGGTAGGATGCAAGTCCTTAAAGTAAATTGGTACCAGCATGCCTGCAGGAAGCCTTGGATTTCGGCTTCCAAATGTCTGCATTTAAGGGCATTCAGCTTAAGTTTCCTGTTCAGCTATTAAGTGTCTCAAAATCTGCTTGTGCCTGTGGTGCTCCTGCCCAGCAGTGAATAGGAGTGTGTTTGCAGCCACTAAATCTGCTTGGGGCCTGTCAGATTAATACCCACCCATGCTTGGCTAACCTCAAGGGTTTGGCTTCAAACCCTGCTTTTGAAGGGAGCTCCCAGACATGCCCCAACTTGTGGTGGGGAGATTAGCACAGCCAGAGGTGCACACCCAGGAGCCTCCCCTTGTGCTGCAGCCTGTGTGCTGCAGAGCATCCCTCACCAGCAGTGCTGCATCCTGCAAGGCTGCTCTGGGCTGAAGAGGATGGGGGGGATCTCAAAGCTTAGAACGAATGGGGAGAAGAAGTAATTTTGGGCACACAAGAGTAGAAATTAATCCAAGCTGTCCCTATGCAACCTGGTACCTTCAGCCACCTTTCACCTTTCTAGTTATTGACATAAAAAGGAATATGTTTGGGACACATTTGTTTTACTCTTGCCTTTCCTGCTCTTCAGGGCAGCAGCATGACCTGAGAGGAGTCCTGCAATATATGGGGAGGAAAAGAAAGCAGCTATGAGAAGCAGCAGACATAGGAACAAGTCCAGCTTCAGCAGAAACACGCAGTTTAAAGGGCCTTCTTTTATCCAGGTCTGTGGGTAGAGTACAGCTGAGTCACTGACTCCAGTTCTCCTCCTGGGTACCAGGCTTCCTCACTTGAGTGCCAGAGGAGTGCTTTGGCACATCTCTTCCCTTTGTTAGCCCAAGGCTGGCTGTAGTCCCTTACACTTGCGTGCTGTTGGCCATTGTTGGCAGGCACTAGGGTGAATGGGTGTAGAACTATAGGAGTTCCACCATGAAATATGAACGATCTCTCTCTGGAAAGAGGCTGTAGACCTGCTTGATCCCTGGAGCGCTGTGAGAGCTGTGCTGCAGTACACTAGCCCGGTGTGACCGATGCATATGCACATTTCACACAGTGCCTCTGCAGAAGTTGGTTAGATATCTCGACTATTGCTTTCTGTGTTTGGAAGGCTTACAAAAACCAGCCGTTACAGAACAGTGACTCCTTCTAGGTGGGGGACACCTGATGCTTTGTGAAAACTTTGGTCTTTGCAGCGCTTCTTAAGTTAAGGATACAATCAGTCCCCATTTGTGGCTACCGCAGCAAGTAATCTCTTGTTATTTCTTATATAAATGATGGAACTATTAGTTTAGAGATGATAGAAAATTCGCCATCTGGGTTGAACCTGCCTTACATACTTCCTTTTAGTATTTGAATGTAGCAGCTTTCACATTTGCTTCCTGTGTAAACTGAAGAGCAGAGACTCAAAGACCCGTTTCACTTGTTATTTGCACCAAACTGGCCAACTTCTGCATCAAACTCCGCATGTGTGTTACGAGGTGGGAGTTGTGAAGGGTGCTGGGTGGGAAAATGCTGGGATACCCTGGGCTGCAGAGAGCTCTCCGCTGTCTCATGGGAAAGAAAGGCTGCTCGGAACTTGGCTACTGGGGCTTTTATCACTCTCTTATTCGGAAGCTGCCAGTTTAAAAGTTTGGGGAAGGTGGAAACTCAGCCTCATGAAGTAGGAGCGCCCTGGTGGGTTGTGTGAGGACATGCAGAACTGGCCCTTTTTGCTGCCTGTTGCTGTTATTAACACTGTTCAATGCTGCTTTCCAGGAGGACTCTGATCTGCATCCTTCCCGCATGCAAGATGTGGGAGAAAGAAGCGAAGGGCTCATCCCCTGTGGTACAAGCATAGGGCAGTCTGTGCGTAACGTTCATTTCTTTTCTAAGTACATTTATGGGAATGCCTTTTAAAAAAGGAAAGGAAAAGAGTACTTTGGAGCTGTTGGAGATACCCCCTCACTCACACTGACCCCCTTGTCTTCCCCTAGCTGCACCTTCATCACATGGCAGGGAAGCAAGGGCACCTGGAGGAAAGCAGAGGAGGAAAGGGCCGTTTGCTGCTGCAGCAGGGGACAGCCTCAGTGTAAGTTGGCCTGACCTTGGCGGGCACTGGAAACCTCAGAGGGGCTCTGCTAATGTTGGTTGAAAATGCTCTAGAATTGGGTGGTCTGCATGTGAGTCTGGTTAGAAAGGAAACCCAGATCTGCACGTTTGGTTTCCTGTGTGCGGGTTTGCCCTTAGGTTATCACGGGTGGATTGAATGGGTTAAATACTTGACTTCCTCAGGCAGGTAACAGTGGAAGGCATCAGGGTTACTCTGAGCTTGTGCTGCTCTGAAATGTGAATCTGGCCCTGCAGCTTGAGTGAGCAAAGTGAATGTGAACACTCATCGATAGAAAGGCAAGGAAAAACTGTGCGAGTGGGGACAGGCTGCTCAGCAGGTTCGCTGCACTTCTGCCTCTGAAGGGCTTGTTGTTAATCTGCTGTGCACAGTAAGTGCTTCTCTGGAGGTGCCTCATCCTCTCGCTGCATCCCTGCCCTGTGTAATAGAATTAGTGCTGGGGAGGGGAAAGGGGGGGGTTATATTTGGGGTAGGTATACTTAAGCTGCATGGAGGAAAACCTCCAGACCCCTATGGGTGGGTTTGCTGTGTGCATTTAAATCCAGGGTCCTGCACTGATAGGTCCCCGGTGTTAGTGCTGCAGCGCATCTCTGGGTGGCCAGTTTGCTTTTTCCAGTTATTGGGAGCCTCTGCTGTGATTGCAAAGTTGTGGGTTACATTCCTTTGCCAGAAAGAATCCTGCAGGAACCTTGCATTCTTTCTAATGTGGGCTATTTTCCGTGAACCAGATTAAATTCAGCCCTGGCACAAGTGTGCTGAAGTTGAAGTGCTCCCGTTCGGTGTATTTCAGTTCCACTGACATCAGTGATGCTGCCCTGGAAGAAATTGGGTCCTGTATTGCCTTTAACGGGTGAGTGCTGACCTCTCCGTGTCCGCTGCAGGCCGGGAGGTGTCTGTGGTACCCAGCTCTGACACCCAGAGGGCTGGCTGCTCTTGTAACTCAGGAAGAGGCTTGCTTAGGGCTTGTCTGGACTTGTTCAGGCCTGAGCCTGCCTTTGTCTCTGCGATCCCAGGGATCCCAGTGGATCAAAGAGGATCTGCCTCTGCAGTTTGCAGCTGCTTTGCCGATGAGAGCTCCTTGAGAGACCCCAGCAGCAGTCTGTTGAACCTCAGCCCCTCTGTCTATTCAGGTAAGCGCAGTCTGTGTGTGTCTGTACTTGTGCTGCAGATGGGCTGTGTGTGTTTGCCTGTTTGCTTGCCTGCAGAGCCTGGCTGTGGCTGAGCGGGGCTGTGGAAGGTGGTGGTGGTGGTCTGCACAAAGCTCTGCAGATAAGAGAGCCTTCAGAGGGCTTGGAAGTCATGTAGGAGACCGTTACAGTAACTGCCTGTGCTCGTCTGTCATGTCGGGGTGAAGGGTGTTTGCCTTTTCTTTTTCCCTTCCTTTCTTTCTTTTTCCCCTCTTCTGTAGCCCCCTCCCTTCAACCCCTCCGTACACAAATGCCCTTTGGAGCTGGGGATACTGGTGTCTAGTTTTTGAGGGATCCCAGGAGGTGATAGCACCCGAAAAAGCAGTGCCTAAAACAGCTCACAAGGTCTGAGCACGCTGCAGCTGCACAGGGAAGGCTGAGGATGCTACTTAGCTTGAATCTAGCGTGCTGTAAGAGATTCTGATAAGTTAGCTTCTCATCCAGGAGACAAGGTAACTGAATTGATGTGGTATTAGCCACTCTGTGGTTCATTGTCATGTCTAGTATTTACATAGGGGAACATGGAAGTTAAATGCTTAATTCCTTGCTCTTTGCAAGGAGCTGGCAGCTGTTCCCTTCCCCTGCTACACTTGGCACACGCTATCCTCTCCATCCTATTTCCAGTGCTGTTACCTGGCTCAACAAGTCGCCTCTGCATTTATTTTGTAGTAAATAATATAGCTCAGATGCTGCTGTCACGTGGGGAAAGGAAGTTGTTATACTGTGCTTGGCTTTGCTCCCCACTGCCCCACTTCCTGCACACTGGCAAAGTGAAGCTTGGCATTACCTGTATCTGGCTGTCTCTGCATCACTTGCTTGCCATGAGGTTTCAGGTGTCTGTGCAAACTGTCAGCGGGATTATCCATGTAACTGTGATATTACTTTAGGAGATGGCCTTTCCATTGCTTACAAAGGGCTTGCTCTGTTTAGAACTGAAAAGACACCGGGATTCACTTGAGATCAGAGGTAAGGACCAGCCTGTTAGAGTTAATTACCCGCACCAGCACAGATTTGAGCTCAGGGTTTGGCATCGTTTCCCTGCTACATTTCAGGGCCATCTCAGGAGAGCAGATGGGGTCAATGGATGTGCAGGTTCTGTCTATTTTGAAGACGGGCCCATCTGTACTGACGTTTTATATCTCTGATATAAAATGTATTCACTTGCAAGCAACCTACCCGTCCTCTGTGCACTCTGTTTTGGTATTGTATTAGCTGCACATGTGCCAACATGTTGCAGTGTTTCCACCTACTGAGGGTGAGTTTGGTTGATTGTTATTAGCTTCATAATGAAGTGCTGTGAGGACCTTTTTTGCTTTGTTTAGTAGACCAGAGCTAAGCAGGATCTGAAAGTAACCCTCTAACATTTGGTTATGATGAATGCCATTCTCTTCTAGTGACTGCTTTTCTTTCACCATTGGTGGTATTGGCAACCAGTGATGCTAACGGTGCATCATCCGAGCAAGGAGTTATGTTTGCTCACGTGCTTACATCTGCAGGTTGCTGCAGGGAGTTTCAGCTTGGACCTCAACCTTTTAACACTGATGGTTCAGTGTGCATATTGGTCAGACTGCAGCGTTTCCAGTCTTTGAAGAACCTGTAGTTTGATAGAGTAGCATCTTGTGGATGAGCTTGCATCCAGGACTCTGCTTCGGGCCTAACAGCAGCAAAGCCACGTGCACAGTGAAACTGTTGGCTTAGGGCTCTGTGAAATGACCTGCTCAACCTAAAGTCCAAGCAGGGTAAGAGGGGTGAAGGATTCTGAAATGAGGTTCCTTTTTATCTTCCCTACTTGCTGCCCCCTGCACCTGACATAAGGACATGAGTAGAGGCAGTTCTGGGGACCATGCTTCTGTCTTGTCGCCTCACACTGTGTTTTATCCCCCAAGAGAAAGTAAATTGGCCTATTTTAAATAGCTCCAGAAAGCTGAGGCACACACACAAAATATGTGTATGAGAGGTGAGTGATATTAGAGCAGTAACATGAGGATAAAGTCGCTGCTTGAGCAGCATCACTGAATTTGGTGCAGTGATGCTAGGGATGCTTGTTGCTTCATCCTTTTGGCTCCAGATTGAGAGTCTCTAACATTAGCTTTGTGGGTTTCATAGAACCATAGAACAGTGGGGGTTGGAAAGGACCTTAAGGTCATCTAGTTCCAACTTCTCACTTAAAAAGGCTGACAAAACTGTCTGTCTAGATAAAACTATGGATAGGCTTTAGGGAGGAAGTTTGGTCAGGGCAGGAAAAGCAAAGCTCCTCTGAAAGCATAAATACTTTGCTCTGTTTCAGTCTCTTCTGTGTCATAGAGGAGGGACAGGCTTGTAACATAAGTGATACTGTCGCAGATTTCATGCCAGTAGTGAGAAGAGAGCTTTTTTCTCTCCTGGCCTATTGACACCTCAGTGCATGGACCTTGTCTCAAAGCATGGGGAACCAGAGGATTTTTTAGTACAGATGTGGGGAATTCTTTTCTTTGTGTTCACTTATACTGTGGCTTCATTTAAATGAGAAACAGAGCATCAGTGCTTTCTTGCTGTGGAAAGATGTGAACCCTCCTTCAGATAAACCACAGTTGTTTCTGCTTGTTCTCTACAGGTGGATAGAGAGAAGGTCTCTTTACCAGTTCTCTTTGTATGGCTGGGATCTCATTTTGACTATACAGTGAAGCCTGCTAGCCTATGCTTCAAGCAAGTCTGTTTCCTTGTATTTTGAAGGTAGAACACCAGTAACCTTCCAGAAACGGGTACAGCCCCTTTCTTAATGCAAGTGGGGAGAAGCCATTGTTTTGTTTCCAAAGAGGCACTCAGCTGAAGGGGCTCACACAACTGTGGGACTCCAATTCAAGCCTTCAGTGGGATGTATTCTCAGCTTCAGTGTGTCAGTGTATATGCAGATAAGAGGGTCACATAACGTGCTGTGATAATCCTGATCTTCAAACCTCCCTGCATGCTTTGGTGGTGCTTGGTGAGCATCTCTCAGTATAGAGGATGGTGACAACTTCAGGCGGTGGTGCAGGGGACTCTTGCGAAGTTCTCTGGTGGTTGTGGTGAGTGGCTGACTGAGCAGTAGTGGGCATCAAAATATGCATTTCCCTAATGCAGCTCAGACAAGGGAGAAGCTGTTTCATTACCTGCAGGCAGCAGACCCTGCTCTGACACTTTGCCTCTTGTTTTGAGGCAAAGATGTACGAATAGGTGGGTCTAGCCTTGAATGGAAGGAAAGAGGCATGTCCTTTATAGGATTCTATAAAGATCCCTCAAAGCCCTGTTAAAAGAGGGGCCTGACCTTAACAAACAAGCAAGGACAGAACTGCTATGACTGTAACATCTCTGCTGTGAATCAGCGGCATCCTCTCCGTCCAAGCAGACTAAACTGAGGGCCAGGAACTTCTTGGGTTGAATCAACTTGTCTTTCCCAGGCCCATCTGGGCTATAACCACAGGGTTTGGGGGTTTTTAGACTGAGATGCTAGAGTATACATGGGGCTCCTGACAGCTGTGCCTCTGGGTTTATGATCTATGGCTAATGCTTGCGCATTGCTTGGTTAATGACTCATGGGTGCTTACGTGTGGCTTCCAGTTATCTGAAATCTGCAGTGCACTGGACTCTGCCCAGGCCTCTCCCAAGGTACTGAATCAGCAGAAGCCCTGAGCAGCCTCGTGTTCTGAGCTTGTACTGACTGCTGCAGTGTGGAGGCAGCAAGGAGAAAAGGGGTAACCTTGCTTCCAGGAGCTACAGCAGCATTGCAGCCTTGGATGGGGCTCCCCACTGTGCTTTACTGCTTTGCACAGCTCACTGCTGGAAAGTAATGGCTGTGGAATGTCTACACTACAGATAAATGACACTTATGTAGGTGCAGTGGAGGGCTCAGCTGCTGGTGGAAGTGTGAACTGTTTTTGTAAGCTCCAAAATCACAACTCCCTTAAAGATCGTCTCGAAGGGGCTATATGAGGAGAGCCAATGTATATGGTATTTGACAGGTGACCACAGAGCAGGATTAAGACATTTTTGTTCTCCTGAAACCTTCGGGTTCAGTCTGTGTGTTTTATTTAAGTTAGATAAGATACAGGGAGGGAATTGTGTAAAGGGAAGGGATAACATGCAGGAAGTTCAAGGTGTGAAATGGGACAGTGTGTCTGCTGTCTTGGTAACACAAGTCCTAGGTGCATTTCTGGCCACTGGGACTGGAGTGCTTTAGAGTTCACAGTTAGTGTTCAGATGTTGCTGCTGGACATCTCTGATCTGATCTGGGAGAGAAGAGGGGAAAAACAGGTAATGAAAGCTTTGTTAAATATTGTTGCTGTAAGGGGAAGAATGGAATTTACAGTGGAGAGCAAAGGGCTTTTTGCTTGTTTTCATGTAAAAAGAAAAATGACTTCTGAAAGAAAGGAAGAAGTTGCATTGGATCTGGCAAAGAATTAATTCTTTAACTCTGTTGTGGAAGAAGGCATATGTCTGGTGCACTGCATGTGCACGTTTCCTAATGCACAGTATATGGAGAAATAGAGTAAGTGATGTGTGTATTAATTCCACCGCTTTATCTTGGTTTGATGGGAGATTTAATACAGCTTAAGCCAGCAATATTAGCCGTGCCCAGTGAGATCCCAAATGAAGATTCAGTTGGGGGAGAAGTGGTAGGTTTTAAATATGATGCCTTTTAAGGAACGGGAGGAGATAGTTGCTCTAGATTTTCCTCATAGTACCCTTAACTGTTCCATGTTTAGGGAATATATCTGTGTTTTGTGGAGCAGACAAGTGACAGACATAGCCGCCCTGCGGATCTCAGTCATGGAATAACCTGATCTCCTTCCTGAATTTTCCTTGTTATATCTGAGGGCGTTTGTGCTTCTGAGTGCAGGGAAGCTTGTGGAAAAAAGCTGCTGTGAGCAGATCTGGCTTCTGCCTGCAACGTGATCCCAGGGCTACGAAACTGCTGCTGCTTTTCCGCTTGTCACCTGCAAGGTGAAGATAGCCTGCTACCCAAATGGCAGTGTCCCTCTGAGCTGAGCGAGGAGCTGGAAATCGCTAGGGTTAGACAGCCTACAGGTAGATATGCTGACTAGGACTCTATCTTTTCCCCTGTCATTCTATCACCCATCTTGCATGATTTCTGCCTCTCTTGCTGTGTTTTACAGAGCGGAATCGCTCGCTCTGTTCTCTCAGTTCTGGTTCAGACAGTCTGTGACTCACTGCAAAGGTATTGTCCCATTTCCGTATTAGCTGCGAGGTTGGCCTGCAGGAGTGGTGGCAGGGAGCGGGGTGGAGTCGCAGCTCTATCAAGAAAGCAGGAACTGGCTGAGTTTGCAGAGTCTGAACGATGAAGCAGGTGTCTACACGCTCTGGAGCCTGTCCTCAGCTGGCTTGAGCTGTATCAACCCCAGCAGCAGCAAGCCGGGCTCACCTGGGAGCTTAGATGGACTTTGGGTACCACTGCCAGCTGGATCGTCCCCTACCACGCAACTGGAAGACACTGGTAAATATCTTTGCTATCTAGGGTCGTGTCTATCCATCTCATAAGGAAAGTTTCTGCTGTGTGAGTAAGTGAAAGGCAAACAGGAGTTGTTGAGCAGCTTGTGTCCTGTGTTTGGGGAATTAGGATGTTACAGGGAGTTTGGAGGAGAAAGTGGCAGGGAAAGTATGATACTGCTTTATAACCAATGCCAAGAGTAGCCTAGAACCATTTTCTGGTTGACTCGGTAGCATATCACAGGAATTGCAGTAGAAGGTGGGATAATGGAATAGTACAGCCCTCGTGTGAACGTTTTTGGAGATATGAACCCAAAAAGTCCTGATCCACGTGTCATAGGACTTGTACCAAAGCCAAGTCAGCACTAATCAAATGTATTCTTAGCTTAAAAAGGGAAAGCTGTCCCTAATGCTGTAAGTCAGGAAAACTGACTGGATTTGGAGAAGCAAGGCACTTCCTCTCCTGCCTTGAAGCTCATAATAGGAAAGACCAACACTTCCTTTGGGAGAAAGGAGAGTTGTTCTTGCTCAGCAACCACCACTAGTGGCTTTAAGATGATTTTACACTGGGATGCCAGCTCATCCTGATAAGTGTAATAGACTCGGTTTGACATCACTTCTAATTCCATGGTTTAGAAATAGGCAAGGTTGATTAAAACAACCTGTATAAAAGACACTGAGCATCCTGATGTAATTTTGAAGTTAGCCTTCTTTAAAATAGGCGCTGAACTAGCTGATATCCAGGAATCTCTTTCAACCTAAATCCTTCTGAAGTTTCAAACTGCCATTTCACCTCTTCCATGCAAGCTTTCTCCTGTTGCTGCGTTTCGCCCACAAATCTCACAGGTGAAAATTCAGTGGTTTTTGCCTTAAACCAAGAAGTATTTGAAGCTTCCAGTAACAGAGAGTCTGTTTGCTTCATGCTTTCAAAGCTGTAGAGAAACTTTGTGTAGTTCTTCAGTTACTAGGTCAGTCACAGCTTAAAACTCACCTTGCTGACAATAGGAGGATGACACAACGCAGGGAATGAACTTGAAATCGGTGTGCTTAATGAAATGAAGCTTATGGTGTCACATATTTTAGTGATGACAAAAGGATTGCTGCAGATCTCACCTGGCAAGACTTCTTACCTTTCTTGGAATGCAGTATTTCTGTAACAGGAGAGTATTTCCACCTTCCACACCCATCAGCTTGGTTCTTTTACAGTAGTGATCTCTCTATAGGCTAATCCCTTGTAGTGTTACACAATTCACCAAAGAGTTTTCTCCTGCTGCTTTGTTACCCACACGGATACAGCACAAATCTACATCTAACCACTTCACTAACACAGGATTGATGTGAGCTGGTGTGATTCGTGCAGACTGGGTCACATCTCTCCAGGAAAAGCACCCCAAGGACCAGTGTGAAGTGAAACACATCATGGGTTAGCTTTTCTCTACAGGGAAAATTGCCTTTCTGGGGCAAACTCTGAGCCTTGAACTGGCAAATTCAATTACACACACACAGCCATGTAAACTTCCTGTGGCACCTCTGGCCTTTACTCAGGGATGCTAACACACACGATGGTGTCATGGATGGATTTTGTCAAAGTTCCCTAATACAGGATGCTTTTCACAAATGCCCAGTCGTAGTAAACTTACCAGGTACTTGAACTCAAAGGGAGGAGAAAAGGATTTGCTGTTAGACAAGCTGCTGACATGAAAAATAGCTTATTGGCCAGCACCTTTGCAGAGGTCTCTCGAATGCTCAACTGTTCTCTCCCTGTTCCCAAGTAGCTTTTAAGAGCAATCTCAAGAGCTGGGTAACTGTCTACTGTATTGCAAATACTTGCTTTCTCTGCAGCCCCAGCAGTGAGAAATCAGTTAAATGATTCTAGGTCTCTGCAGAGGGAATGCCTTTCTCTCCCTTAGCTTTTGCTGCTTAGCTTTCGAACTTGAAGGCTCCTTGCCTGATTGCCAGCTTGTTTGGCCTCCACATGATGGTAAATCCCATTGCCATCTGTGGAGGACACTTGTGGACTTTATACTTCATAAAAAATACTCATGTGTATTATCCCAGACTCATGCAATTAAAAACGTGAGTTGTAGCCTTGTATGTTCTCTCCTGGTGCATCAACAGGAAGGGTGGGGAAAGATGCTCCTGTACACCTGAGGTTTCATTTATACTTAACACCATGAAGACTTTTGCCCATATTAAGGAAAGGTGGTGATTTTCTAAGATGGCTCTGCAGTGGTTTGGGAGAAAGAATCTCGTGCAACACAGATGTTAATGTTAACGCAGAAGAAGCTCTTGGGGTTTAGGGACGCATTGTTCTATATCACTGTACTGTGCCTAGTACAGCAGCCCCATTCAGCTGATGTCTTGGGTTGTACCATAGAAAACCATCACAAGCTGCGCTAATTTAATAGATATTGTCTAGATTTATGGAGATCTTGGCTGCCAGGAGCAGGGCTCAATGGATTATATCCGAGACATACATTGGCATCTAAGACGCTGGCCCCTTGCAGCTGAAGGCTTGAGTAGATTTGTTTGGACCAGCTGAGCAGTACTACAGTGGTGTGCTGCACTCCCTCTTTTCTGCTCTGGGTGTTGGGCACATGTTTTTTGGGGCTGCCCTTCCCATAAGGCTGGAACACAAGGGTGGATTTGCTGCTCCATGCTCTCCCAGTCTGTTGAACAGTTTCAGCTGGATGAGTTGTTTCCCTCTTTCCTAAAGCACTAGGAATTCTTTCAGGCAGCAAGCAAGAGGGGAGCTAAAAGGGTTTGAAGAATGAAAAGCAGGATCATTGTCCCGCTGCATGGGTACAAGGTTATTCCCCAAAACATCTTTTCCCTGGCCCTGACATGCTTGATTTTTACTAGCTCGGAGGAGAGATTTCAAGTTCCCAAAACAGCAATTCTGCAGTCTTGTACGTCCCCAGAGGGGAATGAAAGATGATGCAGTATCTTCCTCTTCTGTACCAGACTGTTTTGCTCTCCTATAGCTGTGTTTGTCCCTGACCTGTTAATTGCCTTTGAGATAGTCTGCTTTGTTCTGATCCTGATGGAAATGTTGGAGGGATGATTAGGTCGTTGTTTAACCAAGACAGGTAGTTCCACAGTGGGACACGTTTTCAGGGCAGGAAGGTGGGCGCTGTTGTCAAGTCTTGATTTTGATGGTTTGGAGCTGTTTGCTTTTTTCCTCAGGCTCAAGAGGTTACACTCAAGAAGTGATTTGTTAATTAATCACTGCTGACTCCTGGAACACAGGGAATGGAGCCCATGTTCTGTTAGCACAGTGCCTGGTGGGTTTGATTGGCATGTAGCTACAGAACTTTATTTCAGTCTCCTTTGATATTTATGTAGAGGTCGTGAGCTCTTCCTGTCACCTGCACTGCCATCCTGTACAATGGAACTTTCCTCTCTTGCAATAAACCCATCAGTTTTGTCTTGGATCACTGCATTCCTTTTCAGAGAAGCATACGCTCCCCAACGCTGGCCATTCTGGAGACCTAGTGATAGCCAGCAGCTTGGGGTTGTAACATCTGCTCTTTGATTTGAAGTGTTTCCAAGTCGTGCCTGTCCGTTGGTCCTCATGCCTTTCTTTGCAGGACAGCAGGTTTCTGGTAACTTGGGATATGAAATACAGTTTCCCTGGGAGCAAAACTGGGATAGCAAGAAAGAATGGAGAATTTCCCCTCTCGCTGTCTTGCTATCCAAGCACAAAGCAAACTCCTGAGTTTGTGGAGTTTGTAACCTGGTGCATTAGGAGGGGGAATAGAAGGCCTAAATGTCTCAGAATATACAGATGTTGTGTTGCCAGTGGATCACTGAAAGAAACTAGAGGCTGCCAAAAGCCAGTCGTGCTGCATGTTTCACCTCTATGCTCCAGTGTTGCACAAGAGTCCTGTGAGTAATAACCTGCTTTGGAGGCTATGATGCAAGAGTGAAGGAATTGCTTTGCCCTGAAGGTTGTCTTCTCACATGTTCAAGTGTTTCCAGGAACTGAGGATTGCAGGAACGCTAGATAACACCCTATCTTGTGTATCTCGGGCTGTTCCATATGTCTAATAGGAAAGTCAAATGGCTTTAGTACAAGTAAGTATTAGTCCCTTCTTCATTTGTTTCACAGATGGTTGGGTTCCCAGTGAGTTATCTGTCTAACACACCGTATGCATGAGCTAACCAGTCATTCTTACCCAAGATTGGCCTTACCCAGTTTGGGGGTAAGGAACAGGGTAACTTATAATTAATGTTTAAGCCTCTTCTCCCTTGAAAGAGGTTTTCTTTAGTACTGCTGCAAATGCTGCTTCAACCTTTTCTTTGTCCCCAGACTCTTGCCTTCTGTGAATGAGAAGAGAGGAGGAGCTCGGCCAACCTGCCTTAACTTCCCTCCAGGTGTGATGCCAGCTGTGAGTGTTTCTTTGGCAGTGTCTTAGCTGGTTGTTGTGAACAATAGTCAAGGAAGCAATCAGCAAGTATACTGCCCTAGAAGTGCTACACATTGTTGGGCCTGCCTCATCTCCCTGGCTCGAGAGGTGGATGGGGATCCAGGTTGGGATGCTGCCCTGTGTTGCACTGGAGCTTGAAGTGTCTGCTGGAGCAGAGGGCCAGTGGCAGAAATGCCACAGGATGCTTGATGATGTGATCATTGCATCGGAGGTGAGAGGAAGAGAAAAGAAGACAAATGTGTTGCAAGTTGCTTTGCTCTTTCTTGTCCTTCCTGCATGCATCTTTCTGAGAGTAAAATAGCTATTGTAGTAACACTGCAAAAATGCACCACTGGGTATTGGGAGAAGGGCCTGCTCATAGGAAGAATTCATCCAAGCCCCAGTCTCTGGCTGGCAATGACAAGCTAACCTGGCTTTGAACTTGGAATGGGAGCAACTCGCCTGTAGTCACTGTTTCTCTTGGGTGCTGGTCAGCAGCTAAGCATTGCAAATACACGGAGTCAGGTGCCCAAACACTTGGCTGAATTCCTGGGAAAGAATTAGATTTTAATTATGCAATGAGACTTCTTACCTTGTCTGGCTAAAAGGGGTTCCTCCTAAATAAGAGGTGTTTCTAGAAAGGACAAATCCGCAATATGGGGACAAATCACCCCAACCTTGGAAGAAGGGAAGTCCTTGCCTACATCTAGTTTAATTTTCCAATACTCACACAGAGGACAAGAGCTTACATCAATTTTGATCAAACCAAGTTGCTTCTGGTTTTATCTCTATTGCTCTCGCTGACTTGACGTAAACTGGGTGTCATAATCCAGCTCTTAACCAAGCTAGCTATGGCTCTGGTTGCCACATTTCTGTATGCCTTTCCTTTTTCCCCAGACATGAACATAATTGCACCGGTTACAGGGAGTTGTTAACTGTCTGTACACAGAAGGTAATGGATGGCCAGAAGGGAGCACAGCATCCTTCTGTTGCCAGTCTTCTGAAACTTCACCTCTGCCTTTGCAGGGTGTTTGTCACAGAGAAGATATTTTGAGCTCATGCATCAGATTTCCTGATAAAATACCACTGTTCTATGGCTTTTTGCTTTCAGGTTTTTTCCTCTCTATGGAGCCAAAGATGACCATCGGCTCCAAGCTTTTTGAGGAGACGCACAGTGTGTTATTATAGGTAACGACAAAAATAACAACAACATACAATTGTATTTTGCAATAAAAAAATACAATTGGAAGATTGCTTCAGAGAGTTCCTCTTTGTACTCGGAAAATGCCCTTTCCCAAAGTGCCACTGCTCTATACTTGAGCCTGAGCTGGGTGTTGGCTGAATGGAACTGATGCAATGACCGGAATGTGGTTGGGATGACAAACACGTGGGGCTTGACCTGTCTCACTTAGCATGTGATCGCTGAGCAACTTCACCTGTGTTAATAAAGTCAGTGAGTTTGAGGTTATAAGATAACATTCTGCTCTTCAAGTTTCCTGTCCATAGCCTTGCAGTAGTGTTTAAACCAGGATGACAAGTATTGAGCAACCATCCCATCAGCTTCTGTAACTGTGGGCACTGTGTTTCAAATGGTTCTGTTAAATGTGCTTTTTGCTACCTGGGCAAGAAGCGTGATGCAGAGAGTGTTGTTGAATACCAAGTGGCATTCTGGAGTTCTGTGTTGGGAATGTGGCTGTGGCTGACCCCTCATCTGGATGAATGGCAGTGGCTGTGCACCGCTCTGCTGAGACCTGAGCAATCAGCACTGACACACAGAGCATGAATCTGTAAGCTCTTAACCACCAATATTTTATGTCTGCCTTCAAAGGAGGAGAGTGAGGAGTATGATACGGTGCTTTACAACCCATTTTCTGGGTCATATTTGTGCTCTGGACTGTAGATGTTGAGTGTCCTTGTGTGGCTGAAAGAAGAGTCACCCAGGCTCTGTTTCACCCTTTCCCTTTAGCTGGATTGTGTCTTTGCTGCTTTGCACTTGATCTGTTTCAAATAACTTGTGTGAAATAACTTCAGTGATGCTCCTAGCTCGGTAACCAGGGGAGCTGACATCCTGCATGACTTTTCCTACTTGAGGGCCTCATTATTAGCTTTTATACTCCAGTCTTCTCTCTATTAAAATCACAGGCTGCAGGCAGACCTTTCTGTTGCAGAGTACAGTGTATACCTCCAATGCAGTTTACAGTAAAACCTACACTCCAAAAATCCTATTATTTGGTCTATTTTCCTATACTCAATATAAGACATGCAGTCCACACAGTTTTATTATGGGTAATGAGAATGGCTAAAAAATAGCATTGAAAGATTGCCACAAAGATCACCACAGCATATCTTTGTACGCTGCCCAAGTGCCCTTTCCCAAAGCGCCACCGCTCCGTACTTGAATCTGAGCTGGGTGACCTTAAGACAAGGTCTTAAATATAGCGTATTTGTTCATGGCATACTCTGTTTCATTGCGAACGTGCAACTTTAATACCTTTATTTTTCTCTACACGGCCCCAGCACGCAGGAATAGCCCATATCAATCCCCTGATTTAAATAGGAAATGGAAAGCTATCGCCACACTCGGTGCCTGCTTCAATCCGTTCACTGTGCTGGCTTCATTCCAGCAGTGGCACTAATTGCATCCAGCCTGCAGAAAAATTCTCATTGCTCAGGGCTTTTTTTGAGAGCTGCTGGCTTGAATTCTTGTGTGATCTCTGCAGCCTGACTGCACATTCTTCGTGCTGATGGAAAAGTGCTTAAAATGAGTAAGCATCTCTACTTGCACAAAGAAAAGCCATCGGGCTTGTTCAGCAGATCCAGCGTAGGGCTCTGCAGTGGGTGATGTGTGTCCTGTTTCAGCAGCTGTGTACACACACTCTGTTCTGGTTCCAGGGCACTGGGGATGGAACATGAAAGACAGCATAAACCCCAGGGGTATCTTGATGCAGGGGGTTTCACAGTTATGCTTGCCTCTGGGCTGCTCTTCTATCCCAATGCTGAGCCTGCCAAGAGTTGTGTATTTGTTACTCTAAGAGTTGCCTGTCATGGTGGGCTGGTAGAAGAAGGTAAGGGGTCTGAGCATTTCAGTCTCTAAAGAATCAGGAGCCAGGTTGGAGTAGCAGCAAGCATGCCAGTTAGTACTTGAACACTGAAGCAGACTTGCCTGCCTTGGAGGGCATTCTTTTATGTTACTCTTGAACAGCTGAGGGATGGGAAGCAGAATGGTGAGTATTAATATAGCAGTAGCAGCATCAGGGAAAAGCACAGTATTTGCTCTTGTGTAATAAAGATAAAATGGAATTCATGCAGCATGTGGTAATTCGAGAGGACTTTTAGAATGAATTTAGTTGCAAGGCTTATTTTGAGTTAGCATGAGGCAGCTTCACTTCAGTAGTGCTTTACCAACGTCAGCTTTTATTGCATTTGTATTTGTTATTTTCCACATAAGAAGAGTCAGGGAAAGAGCCAGTGAGTATCTTCACAGCTGCAAATTACTGTGTTGGCTCTATGCACCTCTACATGCGTTGCAGTTTTGCTTCAGAAAGTCTATTCTGTCTGTAATGTGGCCTCCCACTGTGCCAAACTTCCAGCATCATTTTGCATGTGAGTGTCAGATTGCTTCTTGTCAGCTTGACAGCACACAGTTGTACCTGTTAACAGAGCTGTCTTGACCCCAGTGCTTGCCAAATAAAACCTTTCAAAGCTGAAAACTCGGCTTCAGAGAAGAAAAGCCACATGAGAGCCGCTCTGGTGTTCTCACCTATTGAAGGGACTGCCTTGTTGCTCAGTGTTCTTAGTAGATACATAGGGAATGTGTTTCTTTGTGGGTTTTGCTTTGAGTGATTCTTCTAAATCCAGGTGAAGTTGTTGTCTGGAGGGGGCAGCTGCTGAGAAGGCTGTTGGTGATCATTTCAGTTTCTTGAGCAGCCCTATATGTCTTTCACTAATGCTCTATTGGAAGCTGTCTAGTGTCTAGCCAAAATGGAATGGATGGAGTTAATAAAATCAAAGGATTAGGCCCTTAATCTGTGCCAGGACTGCTAGAAATGTAGGTTTTCTCTTTTTTTTTTCTCTTCTGTCACATGCTGGAAAAACAGCAAAGGACAAACATGAGGATTTTGGCCTCACTCAAAGCCTTCTCTTAACCACATTTCCTTGGCTTCCTTTCAGCTGATGCAGTGACCCTAAGGATCCGGTGATGACTTAGGAAAATGGTCTTTTGGAAACAAAGAGCTCAGGTGCTGGTAGAGCTTTTGGGTGGCTGGTTTTACTGTGTGACAGTTCCACCGTTAGGCCTACGCTTCCAGACAATCAGGTTTGTTAGCTACTGCGTAGATGTTCTTATATATACATAGTGCCTTGCCGCTGGCCAGGCCATGCAGAAGACCTGTGTCAGTGCAAGGATATACACAATGCATCTAACTTTGCATTCCTCTGAGAAGGGGAGGAGCTGGGTGTCTTACTGCTCCCAGGCTGAGCCCTGAGAAGCTGATGAGTACAAGCAACAGTTGTGCTGACTTCCTCGAGAGGAATTGCATCCTGTTAAAGGGGGTTTGCCCAAAGTGAGCATCTAATGGTTGATTCTTTCTGTATCTTCTGGTTAATGACTGGAGACATCTACTTTTTTTTGTGGTGCAATGAAGTTTCTGTCCAGGCTTCTACTTGAAGCTACTGCCTGAGCTATAGGCATGATGCAGGGATGGGTAAAGCTGACCAAGGTACATCTGCTGGTGGTGGAGCCGTCTGCCTTCACCAGAGGTATGGCAGAGAAGTGCCTGTTAAGATCAGGACGATGGTGACTGGGAAAAATATTACTGCTTGGAACAGCAGTGACCTCTTGTGGGTAGGGAAGATGGGTGGTGATGCTGGGGTCAGAGGCTATTACTCTATTGTGATTGCCTTAAAGTGAATGTGGAAAGGGAGCTCAGATTCTCTTGGGTGGGTATCAGAAACAAACAGCTAGAAATGGTGCTCGGTCTGTTCTTCCTTGCATGTAGATGTGTGTCAGGCAGCTCATTTAGTAGTTGGTGAGATGAATTCCAAGTCAGGAAAAAAGACTTTCTGGGTCTTTCCACCAGATACCAGGTTGCTTCTCCTCCCTGTGCTGTGAGAGCATCTGAAGATGAATGAAGCTCACTGCTTCAGAGTGAAAACTCTGAAGGTTTCGACTTCCCTGAGCTACACACAGCACTGCCTTTGAACTGTCGTGTATCTTTGGGCATTTCCAGGTGTTTCTATTCTCTGGACAATTGCAGATCCCATGGGACAGAAGGTAGGAATGTACATCTGGGAGCTGCACTACTACCCTGCAGTGGGAAGGTAACAACATCAAGGTAACAGGAATGCCACAGAGCTGCTGGGGGGTGATGTCTGGCACATGCAGGTGTCAAGAAAATGAAAGGTAGTGGGAATCTTTATGATGTTTTCTGCTTTTTATTACTCTTTTTGGAAGCATTAACTCTTTGTACCTGTCCTTCTGCTCAGGGGTGACTTCTGTGTGTGAATGTACCATATCCCTATCGCTAGACAGTAGGGGAAGATCCAGCAGAAGATGCTGTGCCAGGCCTATTTCTTTCTGATTGCTAAGGGAAAGCTGCATCTCACTTGTTGATTTCCACAACTCAGGATAACCTCACAGAGTGCTTCCTTCTAGAACTGGAGAGAAGGGGAATATCTGAATCGCAAGTTAGTGGAGATACCAATTCTGGGTTTGTCTTACAGCACTTACTAAGCTGTGTTTTAGAGCCACATCCATCACCCCAAAATAGAAGTAACGCTCAAAAGCCAGGCTATTTGGTGAAGTGGTTTGTCTGGATGTTTGTGAGAG